CAGCATGGTGCAAGCAGGCAGGAGGTACAATAAGATGCAATTCTGGTCTACATGAAAGGCAACTGCTAATCATCTGCTCTGGATAATAAGGAGCTGATTTTCTTGTTAAAGCAAAAATAGAAACCTGTCTTCTCCTGCTCCATATTACATTAAAATAAAGATCTGAATGGGCTTGCAAATATACATATGTCTATCTAATGAGAACTGTCCTCAAATGAAAAAAAAAGTGTAAGCAAGCTTAAGAAAAGCTTAAGAGTAGCGGTGGGCTTCCTGGGCAGCATCTGATCTTTGCATGCCTTCCTTCTGCTGTTCCTTCCCTTTGCTTGCCCCTTTCTGTTTTGCGTAACTCTCAATCTTTTTGGCTCTTTATATTACAGACTTGCATGCTAGAAAGTGCAGGATTTTCCCCCAAGTCTTTGAGTCAAGGAAAGGAGGAGCAGGGTTTGAAAACAAGCCTCAATTTGCATGTGTACAGAAACACGTAGCATCTGGGGGCTCGGAAAACTACTCTGGATTTTATACCATTCTTTCCTCTAATGAGGAAGTATTCGTTGGATACCAGGAGAGTTGCACATGGTTTCTATTTTCTTCTATTATGTAAACTTGTGGGCAAAGAATATACTCCTTAGCGATGTTATTCATTCAGAGCATGAACGCAGCAGAGCTCTCTAAGAGCTGGAGTTTTCCACCTGACGCTAAGAGTTTGCCTCTCCTCTCACATACACAGGCATAAATTGGTTTCTTGAAATGAAGTGAACTGTACAGGCAAGTGGAAAACTCTTTTCCCATACGACAGGTTTTAGAAGTATTTTTTCAGGTGTCCGCACTACAGCAAAATTCAATCAGTGGCAGCGTGGTACCAAAATCACTCTTAAAAGAACTGACCCTAGCCATTAATCTCCCTCTCAGGGGGTATCTGAGCGAAAGATATCCGAGATATGGGAGAGGATATCATTTCCAGTGATATCTGAACATAAAGTGCATATGCGTTTTCACAGCCTTATGAGTCACCACTGCCTTCAGACTACAGGTTGGGAACTAGTAGGCGAAAGCCCATTCAACTTCCAGTCTTCCTGGGCATTTGATCTGGTCTTACTGGAAGTCTCACACCCATGTCAGTCACCTCTCTTCAGCTTTCCATGCAAATGGACATGTGTATTGAAAAGGGCTGGCACTAAACTCCATCAGCATCAAAAGGAAAAGACCCTCAGGGTCCTTTTCCTCCCTACAGAGCAGCATTGCTCTGCCAACATTCAGGCATTTTCAACACCCACTCAGCCATGACATACAGGTGCCAGCAAATGGGTTAATATGTTAGTGAGAAGGAAAAACACAGACCAAAGGAGTAACTGGCTCGTTCTGCTCGGACAGGCTCTTGACAGCTCTCCCACATCTCCAGTGAGCATCAGGAGAAGCTCCTCATTTGCTCCCAGTTCTCCTGTTTCACTAGGTTATATTGGTGGGCTGTGATTTGAGAGGACATAAGAAAGAGAATGAAATAACTCAAAAGCATCCCAAAGTATCAGCAGACTCTGACCAATGAAGGACTTTGCGGCAGCAGCATTACAATTGTATCCTTCTTCTGGACACAGTATCCCACTCATTAAGTTGCCTGTGAAGGCATCGTTTTAACCTTCATTTGCTGAACAGATTTTAGTGACTCTTTCGGAGAATGTTAACACAAAGAAATACGATGGCTTGACATTTTTCTGTGCTACGCATAAGGGCTGTTTAAATTTACCACAAGCTACCAAAGTAGAAGGGAAATAACCAAAGCAATTGCATTTGGATGGTACGGTAAGCCCCTCAGTTCAGAAACAATGAAAAACTCCTTATATTTATGGGGTAATCCAGAATCTGAAGCAAGCTGAATAAACTGCTGCACATCTGGGGATGGACAGGACAAACAGGACAACGATGACATTACAGACACCTCCAGCAAGAAATATATGGAAGCAATTATTCCTTCAGGAAAACCTTTTTTTATATATATATATATGTATATTTTATTCACAATACTAAGCTGTTACAGCATGTGAAGCTGTGGAAGGTTAAGTGGCAAATGATGTGGACATAACAACATTACTCACCAGTCAAAACCAAGCGACAGTCATGCTTGCAAAACAGCAATGCCTGTCAAGGTTTAGAGGCTTGATGCCTTCTGAACAGAAGGAAAATGTATTCCTGGTGAGCTACATCCACTGGGGAGATGAACTGTACTTCAGGCTACCTTCAAGCTTTGCTTATTTATATGAAAATATAGCACTGACAGAGAACTTTTGAAAAGCACTTGCATCACTTAGGAGCCTAAACTCTCCTTGCAACATGAAAGAAGTGGGATAAATTAGTGTGGGCTGGGGCTGGGCTCATGTCATAGCTTGCTCAGTTTCCCCTGGAAGGCACTGCAGTCTGTTGGAGAAGCAGCTCTGAGGCATCTACGAGAATGGCCTGAAATATTTCTGAAAGCATCGTCCCCAGAGGATGTCGTATTTATTTAGATGTTCAGATTTATTATGGGATTTATAATTACAGATGTTATGATAGAGGCACTGATTAGATCCCAGACTAATTCATCTGTGCCCTGATTTACATGCTATTTATTTAAGGTGGGACACTGCAAAATATTAAGCTCTCCTTGCCAGATGGTGAATGCCCATCACATCACTGGTCTGGAAGTACCCTGTAGAGCTCCCTCCCTGTGTGGACCTGGGAAAACTAAAGCTATTGCCATGACGAAAGAAAGGTAATATCACGCTGCTTCTCTAGGCATGCCCCATGTCATCGGTTGTTGTAACGCCCAGTGAAGTTGGGAACGGATACGGGCCTTAACCTAAAGATTTCTCTCAGAAACGAAACCACAGTCATCATAGAATTAAGCTTTTTTTTTCGCCCCTATTAGGCCGAATGGGCTCCCACACAAAAGACACAAAAGAAAGTAGGTGACACCAGCCTTTACAGACAATGGGTACGCAAAGGCAAAACTGAGTATTTGTTGGCTTATTTCCTTTATTAAGCCCAAAATAACACCTTCAAAAATCCTGGCTTCATGAATAAATCAAAGGTCTTCATTAAAGAAACATTAACTGCCATTTTCTATACTTTATTTTAAGGCATACAGAAAAATATTTAACAAGTGTGTATGCAATTAAATGCCAGGGACTGCTAATGCCAGCCCTTCTGAATGCCTCTGCAAAGGAACGGACTCAGTACAATTGGGTAGAAAGGATGTGGGGGTAAAAGGAGATGAAGCTGAAGACAATATCTACTTCATATTGGCACAGATATCTCCCTTGTGGCCTTTGGCTACAAGGCGCAACCGAGACATCAGCGCAACCCAAAGCAGCAGCCAAAGGACATTTTTGAGGTGTATCTTTGCTTCTGCTCCTCTAATTCACTTCCAAACCATTTCATTTCTAACTAATTATGGAACTTAATGACAGAATGTAAAGGACTGGCTCAGGTTTTGGGCCATTCCAACAGGATTTTAACGATATATCCTTCAGGTTGCAAAATCTTTATGTACTTAGCAGTGATTTATCAGCCTTGGCAGAGGCAGGTACTTCAGTGGCAACCTTATATAAAAAATAAATTCTGCCTTTGCCAAGCATCGGAAAGAGCACTGAATTAAATTCAAAAATCAATTCCTAGAGACAAGAGAGTCATAAAAACTCAGCGGGCTTGTCTGTTTGGCCAACAGGCAAAAATTTATGGAAGTACAATTTTGTAATCAATAATAGCAATACAGTGTATGTTTTTCATTGGAAAAAAATTAAAGATGCCAAAACAACATTGTTAAATATTTAGGCTGATTCGTGACAGTCCCATTAAGCAGAAACACAACATGCATTTTGATGAATTTCCAACTAGTTTATGTCATACTATACTTTTTATTTTTCAAAAAAGAATATTAAAACTATTATAAGCTTTGTCACCTGCTGTAAGGCAGAATGATGCAATTTTATTCACTGCACATTTCTTCTCTGTGAGGCAAAAAAGCATAATTTACTTCTTTATAAAAGGGAAATATATATAACTATATATATATATAATTTTATTGGTATTAACATAATGCAATACCATACATAGAGCAAACAGAAAGAAAACATTTCAAAATACATTTTTAAAAGTTATTTCCCCATAAGATAGTATGAAATATCAAGTAATTAGCATTACATTATTACAATACACCCTTAGCCAAATATATTAAGGAAAATCCACATTCTAACCACAGAGATAGAGGCAAACATCAACCCATAGGGGACTCAGAACATAATAATAAATACAATATCTGAATCTACTTTGAGTGACATCCAGACAAATACTGGCCCCAGAACAGCCCTCTGGAGTCTGGGTGTTATGCAGAGAAGACTTTGTGCCTATGTGGCCAGGCGGCATCACTCACATGTTAAAGTCCTAGAAGATAAAGAGGAACTGAAGAGTTTATCTGTGCAGAGTCTAATAAATCTCAGTGTGAGGTATCTTCTCCATCACCATCCAAACCAGTGTCAGTGTACCCCTCTGGCAATTTATTACAAATCAGTAAATAAATAGAAGACTCTGGATAGTCTGTACACACTTTCACTTGATCGAGTACACTTAGGTTAGTAGATACAGTAAGTTAACCTCCTTCACTAGCGTGAAGTATGCTTAAATGACATAACTCTGTCTGGTTGGCCTGAATGGATGCACTGGAGTTCAGTAAAAACGACAGCATTTTAGGGTTACCATAGCTGAATCCCTCTTTAATTCCTCAAAGTGTGCAGAACAAAACTGAGTGACATCAAAGCCCTTCGCCTGCCAAGACCCTCTTCCCCCTCCATTCTCCCATGCCGGGGGCAGCACTTTCTGCCAATGTGCTCCATGTAGACTGGATCTGACCTTGTGCCTAGTCCCAGTGTGGAAAGGGTGCAATCTTCAAAAGACTGGCCATGCCCTTGGACGCCTTCCTGGAGGCCTCATATCCAGGCATGTAGTTGTCTATGCTTTAACACGTCTGTTCGCTTTTATAAACAGCAAAGAAGTTATTCAAGAAGAATTGACTTTCCGAACGGAGGCCATTAGGTCGCTTGCAAGAGGCTGAAGTTGAGTCTCCATCGTGCCAATTCTCTAATGATAAGTTTATCAAGCTTTGAGTCCACTCGGTTCAGTGCCAAGGGAAGTGGATCCGATCTGACATGGAGAGGTGCTATCAACTCTCGCAGTGTATTAGCCTAATATGATAAAGCAGTGATACAATACGTTGAAAGAACTGTGATGTGCCATTGTTTCCATATCATATTAGTATATCAGAAAAATTGTCATGCAAACAAGAGCAAATAGCAAATGTGGCATACAGTTGCAGCACTACAGAGCTTATCATCTAATCTGCATGCAGGTATGCTCACGAGGACAGAGACATGGCACTGTTTTGCTGTTATATTCTGCTCTCTCAAAAACATCCATCCCTGATGCAAAAGAGGTATTTAGGGTAGAAAGTCATATATTCTTTTTTTTTTTTAAATTGTGAATTTGCTTAAAAAATAGAACAGAATGAAGATCAATTATAAACAAATCAATAACTCAAGAGAATGTAATATATCCTAACAGCATGGTTTGCCTTTCTCCACATTCAAAAGACATTAATTTCTTTTGAAGTGCTAGGAAAGGTCACAGGGACAAGAGGGAAGGAAGCAAACTATGTGCCCCAAATTCATTGAATGTGCAATAAGCAGAGAAAAATATTCAGTCAGCTACTTATACATGGTATAGAAAGAGAGGAGGCACAACACAATCTGGCTTCTTTCAGTCCTCTAGCTGATGATCCAGGATTGTGAAATTGGGTAAGATATAGAGCTGGGAAATCATGTGACTTTGAAAGCATACTGACATTATATATCCAAAAACTAGGACACTCCAGAAACTTTATGGACCCATATTAGCAAAATAAAAGAAAGAGGTGGAATAAACTGACATATATTTTTTACTCAGGATTTCTATGCGTTACGAGCCATATTTGCACATAGGGCAAAAGCCACAGTAGCTATGCTATTTTACTGTCTACTGCATGTATTTGTAATGAGATGAAACTTTCCATGAATCTTGAAATCTGCTATGTTTTTTGATCCTCAGACACGGAAAGTTGGGGTATAATTTGTTGTTAAAAAAAATCCTCACTTTGGGAAAGAGCTTAACTACACAGAGTATAAAGATGTTCAAATTCAATACTATTTAACTAGTTAGGATCATTTTTCTTTCCTTAAAGAGAAAAATTTCTTTCCAAAAGATAGAATGAAAAAGGAAGGAGAAAAATAAAGCATTGTCATTTTTACTTTTGACTGTGTCACAAGTTTGAGATGGCAGAAGAGAACTGTTGTCCCAAAGACAGAAGGCACAAGTTGGAAAGAAATTCCCAATAGAAACATTGGTGCCATTTAGTCCACCCACGGCAGCAATGGAAAAATGAGTTTCCAAACAGGTATAATGTGAGAAATGCTATGGAACTAAAACGGAGTTCAGTCTCTCCTTAACTTCTTAGATTTCCCAGGAATTCTGTGTATCAAAAGGAGGAGGAAGAAAAAGGGAGAGGAAAAAAGTTTATAAAACTATATCCTAAATACAGTAGTCAATAAATTTTTACATGCTTTGTTTAAAATAAGAAACATTTTTATCTACAACAAAAATGAAAAGAGAAAAGAGAAGAAAAGAGAAGAAAAGAGAAGAAAAGAAAAGAAAAGAAAAGAAAAGAAAAGAAAAGAAAAGAAAAGAAAAGAAAAGAAAAGAAAAGAAAAGAAAAGAAAAGAAAAGAAAAGAAAAGCCCAAAGCAGCACATTTTTAGGCTCATGTTTTTGAGGAAAGGGAGATTTAAGCAAAGACAGCAAAGGGGAATGTTTTTAACATTTCATCCTGTTTAATAACATTAACAGTCTCAGTTATTTAAAATAACAGTCTAGAATTTGTTTGGAAATTTGTTGGAAACTAGGAAGAGAAGGAAACTTCTGTCTCACTTCTACAACTTCAGGAGATCCTGTTGTCTTACAGGTACTTTTCATGTAACTTTCTTACAACTCATGAAATTTGCTTTCTCATAGAAGGTTAGGCCATGGCAAAAGCAGCTTTCCTTTTCCTGAAGCAAGAGGGCTAAGGTATAAAGAAGAGTAACTTATCTTAGGGTAAGGGTCTTAATGTCTAAACCCCGGTGTTTCACATGCCCTGTGGCTGGGGTACGTACTCTGGGTCCACGGCAGGACCTGTGGAGGAAGCATGTTACCTGCTCTGACTGGTGATACAGGGCATTTATGAATATACTGAAATATTTCAACTGAATATTCCAACAGAATTCTGCATTAGAAACTGACTCTCTGAAAAGTAATTATTGATAAAACTTGTATGTGAAGAGACTATTCGAGAATATTGCTAGGGATATTAGGGCACCATTGTGACAAGAGGAAATTTTTGGGTGCCCCAGTTTGGACTTGCCACAATGTTCATTAAGAGTCTCTCATCAGGATAAGCAGTAGTGCACACAGTGCTGTTTATCTGAAGTGAATATAATTAATCTGCACACTTGGAGGGCTTTTCTAAATCTACTTTATTTTTATTTTGGTCTATTATTGTATTACTCTGATAGTAAGCAAATTCAATATTTCCTATCAGGGTGAGTGCACAATGAGAATTAAGAAATTGGTTATCATCATAAAATAACTTTTTTCTTTCCATAAAGAAAGCCTTTTTTTTTTCTTGTATTAGCAAAGCAATTTATGTTAACCATTTGTAGTGTTTTTCCAGATTTGGGGCATATTTGTTTGTTTTTAGAGGAGAACAAATACAAATAACAAAGAACGAGTAACATGCTTCTGGATGGGTACTTATCAACACTCCAATCATGAGACTTGCAAACATTTTGAAAAATTAGTCAACTGTCGTTCACATACAAACATGAATGAGAACCTATGAAAACAATGAAGTGAACTTTGTGCGTTTATCAACCAAATGACGCTCGTATGAGAAGAGCTTTACAGAAAATGGCTTCCCCAGGGAGCTTACATAAACTGCCTGCCTCTTATAAATCTCTAAATATTTCAATGGCAAATGCAGTCACATAAGCTGTGGTGTCCATGCAAGTGTAGCAGCAGGAAGTGCTTAACCCATCAAAAGTGGAGTTTTCACCATCAAAGATGAGCAGAGTGATGCTCTGCTGGCCTTTCCAATGGTTGAGAAAGTCATGCCAGCATATCTGCCCACACCCAAATGTACAAAAAAGAAAAAAAAAAGAAAGCAAAAAGGCAGAATAAAGTTCCCAATGGAAAGAAATGCATATGAGTCGCAATCAATAAGATCTTAAAATGACTGTCACGCACAAAGTCCTATATAGCTGAAACAGGGGCATGGAAGATGAAGTAACTGCCTATCTTTTTTGTCCTTGAGAACTATATACAAAAAACGAAGGCACATCAGCAGTCACTAATGAGAGGCAAGTTGAGTTAGGGTGTTCACTTAGACGTGGTTTCTACCAAAATGCATAACATTTTAATGCTGCCACCTGAGACCACCTTTGTTATGAGTGCCTGCATTATATACTTTGTCTAAGCAGATTACAAAACGCCTAATTATTAAAAGGCATATTTCTGATAAATTTGCTTTTCAGTGAAGGGACAGGGAGAATCATAGCAGTTAACAGGCTTACTTTTGGACTAAATAATGAAGTTACAGAAAAGGAAATATTCTATATAATAGCGACAATCAGAAAAACTGTAACTGCATTTTGCATTTCTAGTTTTTCTCTCATGTATCTCTACTTTGTATTCACATTACTACATCTGCCTGTGTACTCCTACGAAACAAAAGACTTTTGACCAGAAGCTCCTACCTATTATCTACCTATTATTTAGGGTAGAAAAAAAAGAAGAAAAGGAGCTGGTGTGGAGCCTGGCAATGAGTGTGCCTGCAGAAAGGATGTCAATGACATACATGAGGCAGCCTCCTGACCCTATGTTCCAATACAGTATATCTGTGAGTTATTCGGGAGGCAGCCAGCTCGACAGGGAAGCAGTAAGAGGAGTATTCCTCTAGAGATTGCAGTTTCTGCAGTAAAAGAGAACTGAATCAAACACAGATGAACATAGGAATGAAGTTTCTACAAGCAGTATGTTCTAGTTTTCCCTGCTTTGCTTTCATGCCCTCTGAGTCCTCACTGAGCTTGCAGAACAAGAAAAGGACACCAAGTGTACAGATCTTGTATGAGAAACCACCATGATGAACAAACAGGACAGGGAGAACAAGGAGGACAGGTGATTATGTTACGACACATATCATCTCCAATACCTGCTGTTGTGCTAGTGCTACCCTCAGCCTTTTGAGAAGCAGAGAGACATTACAGGGTCCTAAGCTTCGAGTTTTTTCCTCCCACTTGCCACAGAATTCCTGAATGTGCAAACGCGTCCTAGTTCTCCCAACAGGCACTTCAAGCACTACAGTTCTTGCTAAATAACCCTCCATCTACTCAGTACTAAAAAACTAGATTAAAAAAAGAACAAGCAAAAACCCACTAGAGTCACAATGAAAAGCACCTACAGAGAGCTGAAAACTCAAAGTTAGGGTTGTCTTATATGCTCTCTTACCATGACACAAACATACCTGTTAATACACAAAACAATATTATTCTCTGCATGATCCTGTCCTAAATTCTGTATAGTACTTTGAAGCACAGAATCACAGAATGGTTGAGATTGGAAAGGACCTCTAGAGGTCATCTAGGCTACTTATTTTTCTGCTGCACAGGTCTGTCTCTAATATCTATAAAACTCTAATTTCTTAGTGAGGTCTTCCTGGAGTGAAGGTCCACAACTCCAAAGTAGAGCAGTTTTGAGTTATGCCTCTGTCAGAAAGCAGTGGTTATCTATCTGTGGAGACTATTTTGTTTAGTAACCACTGTAAAATAATACATGAGGTCCTCTAACTTGGGACACAAATCATGAGACCATACAAAATTTGAAAAAATGTTAATTGTTCTTAACACGGGCTTGGAGGGGAGAAAAGACATGCAGCTGGATAACCAAGGTTCAGTTCCCAGATTGATACTAAAATTTCTGTAGAGTGGCACTCCGGGCTACAGTGTATATTGCTTTACTACAGTGAAACTAAGGTACGTTTTTCTATTGGATGGGCTTCCCCCAAAAGAACGTGATGTTACATTCAAAACACAAGGCATACACCCAAAGGTGGGTCCCTATCA